ATAAATGATTTGTTCCGTATAACCAAAAGGTCCAGGGTAATGATATTTTGCTTTAAGCATGCTGGGTTGGAAGATTATAAACTCTGTTAAACCTAATGTCCTTGTTCGACATGCAAGGTCATGGGTGTCATATGTTTAAATCTTTTAATAGGTTCTTATGAATCAGACACTGATATTCTGCCTGTAGTTGTATTTTAGTCCACCTTTAAGATTACAAGTGTGAGGTTAATACCAGGTGAGCGATTCAGGCCCATTGGGCCTCTTGTTATTTTCATTCAATCAAATCTATGGAGTTCATTTTGGTTTTCAAACTTTCAATAACTCAAGTTTTCTATTTGAAAGTAATGATATTGATTAATGTGTGACCTTGACACTTTTTAACCTTGACATAATTCCCCCAGCAGGTGCCCCTGTATTAAGTTCAGTGCCGGACCTTAAGAACCATCTGAGTGAGTCCAACAGCTCACTGACCAGTAGTACTTCGTCCATGGATCAGTCAGAAAAGGATGGCACTAAAAAACAGATACTGCACGCAACAAGAAAGGTGACAAATTAAAGGCCAGTACACGCTGTATGTATCAACATCAGTTTGGAAAAAGATAGGATTTATTAGTTAAGGGTATATGTTACCATAGTGGACATTATTCTCTTTTTCAAAAAAGAGCCTGCACATATCTGTTTGTGTATAGAAAATTTGGAATTGGTTACATGTAGAACATGGCAAATATCTTCCAGAGTGAATCCATTGATAAAGGCCTGGTATTTCTGAATATTTTAATTTTATAGGGGCTGACTGAAAAAATATTTAATGGAGATAACTCTAACACCAATCAAATGAAAAATGTGTAAGGTATCATATACCCTTAACTCTACCACGAATCAGAGGTAGACACAAATATGTCATATCCCGACACAATTATATCATATCATCGTCTCTATTATAAAATACAGTACTTTATGTTGTTCAGAGTACACTCGTCAGGGTCAAGTGTCGGAACAGATAAGGGGTCAGCCCCATCTCCTAAACCGTCGGCCATGATTCTGAAGTACCAGCGACTGTACATATCACCGAGATTAAGGACCTCCTTCTGTGTTTCCTGTACATCCTGAAACACCTCCCAAACGGTAATACAATTCTTATACTCATCGTATTTAGTCACAAATGGACATTTCATTGAAATAATCCGGGTTGGCTGTGAGTTTTCGATGATTCAGCACCTTTTGAACTCCATGTGTTGGTAGACATTGCTTTGATTCACATTGTCGGATGCAGGTTGTGTCGGACCTCTTAACACATGGATAGATTATTATATGTTTATATGAGAAATAAAGCTAGAATAAGGAGTAGAGTATGGGAGGTACTCACGGCAAGTTAATGCTGTTTAAAACAATTATATATATGTATTATTTAATTGACTTTGTCTGTCAGCTACCTAACTGCACGGTGATACTACTGTATACCGGGAAGTGTTCGCTGCAGTTTAACTTTTGCCATTTTTCACTCTCCCTGATGAGGGCGAATATATCATGACAGCAACTTTTAGTTCACAACATGTAGTACATAGTAATTACATGTGATTGGCCAAGTTACACTGGGTGAATAAGGATCTTATCGCAAATAGGTGAATATTTGACAGGGTGAAAATGTTTCGGTATACAGTATTGGTTTTAAACATACATATTTGATATAACGAACTCCTGCTCATTAAAAAGTTATTTTGTGTTGTCCCGTCCTGGCAATCAAAGTTTCTCACAATTCACACTCTATAACAGAATTGTCAGTTTAAAATAACTCTAAATTTGATTTCAGTTTTTCAGATATCCTCCTTGGCTGGTTCAATAATTCCTCAGAGTTTGTCATAATAGATTTCTTCAGTATTTTAGAGTTAGTATAATTTCACAGTGAATGTTACCAGTTATGAATCTGTGTCCTCAGAGTTGAGATAAATTGTAAAATCATAACAAACTAGAGATTCTTTCTGCTGATTGTATAATTGTTATGAATAGGAGACCTTATTTCTGCTAATGATAATAGAATTGTTGAAGATTGGGGACCTCCTTTCTGCTGATTTTATAATCGTTATGAATAAGTTGTTTAAAGTAAAAAGTTGACGCTGGACAGACTTTCTTTCGGGGCCTGTATTCATGAAACCATTCTCTTGCTCAGAATGAATTTTGTACTCAAGCCGATTTTCTTGTGAGTCATCTAAACCATGTGACACAGAAAAAAAGTATCGTGGAAATATTAAAAACGGTATATGGCGAATTGTGCTCGACAATTCTTGCAAATTGTTGCAACAATTTCTATTAAACTTTCTCTGAAACAAGAAATTGTCCTTGAGCATAGAATCTGAGTTTGAGCGTGAGAACGGTTTCATGAAAACAGACTCCGATGATTGTGATGTTGTGAAGGATTGCAGATCTTTTGGCTGCTGTGCTAATGTTACTCTGTTATTAGTATATGACGCTACACACAAGTTACTCTGTTGTTAGTATATGAGGCTTAACACACAAGTTACTCTGATATCATAATAAATCAAAGAGTAGAAGACCAGTCACCTTTAAAAACAGTTCATTGTTGTTCTTGGCTATACCCAGCTTACAGATACCTGATGGAAGTCTGGTCATTAAAAGTACAGTATAGTTAATAAAAACCGTTAACCATGACAGCGTCACACTTGGTTTCACAGCTTTATAATCAATACTAGAGATGGTAGCCATTTAATCCCTATCTGTACTGCCGATTAACTCATCATTCAACCCCTAAATTCACATTTGAACTCGTCCAATTCAATGGTTGGAATAGTTCATTCTGAAGTTTCAGGGGTGAATGAGTTACTCATTCACCCCTAAAGTCACATTTGACCTTACCTAATCAAAGACTGGGCAAGTCCAGTTTAAATATGTAGGGGTGAATGAGTTAAAAATAGCATCATATCATATCTTTTCGTTGATATCAGTTTATTTGATATGAAAGTAAATTAATATTTTAGATGTGGAAATATTTGCTGTTGGTTGTATTCAGATTCTACTTACCAAGAAAAATTGTGAAAGTATAAATCAGCTGGTATCCTGTAATGAAAATTGTATACCGAGATATTCTGGTGAAGGTTGAAAGTTTGACTGGGCAAAAATTTGCTGTTATACAGTATATATCTTCTCATTACAGGGTTTGTTTGACTTACTTTAAATACCATGACCTCAGGTATGAATCAATGGCTAGTGTCCTCATATCTATAGAACATACACTGTACGGAGGCAATCGTTCTTCATACTTTTATCATATATATAAAATTAACCATCATCTGACATTTTGTTCAAATTGTACAGGATTAAATATTAAGGCAAAATGCATACAACTGCACCTAAATGAAATACTAGCTATACAGGGTTTTTAGCTCACCTGACCCGAACAGCCAAGTGAGCTTATGGCATGCTGCGGTGTCCGGCGTCCGTCTGTCTGGCGTCAACTTTTTACTTTAAACTTCTTCTTCTGAATAACCAAGAGGCCTAGGGTGATGATATTTGGCCAGTAACATGCTGGGATAAAGGGCTACTAAGTTTGTTCAAATAAATGACCTTGACTTATATTCAAGGTCACAGGGGTCAAATATATTTAAAACATTTAAATAACTTCTTCTGAATAACCAAGAGGTCTAGGGTGATGATAGTTGGCCAGTAACATGCTGGGATGAAGGGCTACCAAGTTTTTTCAAATAAATGACCTTGATATATATTGAAGGTCACAGGGGTCAAATATGTTTAAAACCTTTAAACAACTTCTTCTGAATAACCAAGAGGCCTAGGTTGATGATAGTTGGCCAGTAACATGCTGAAATGAAGGGGTACCAAGTTTTTTCAAATAAATGACCTTGATATATATTGAAGGTCACAGGGGTCAAATATGTTTAAAACCTTTAAACAACTTCTTCTGAATAGCTAAAGCATACAGGATGATTGCTTGTAGATGTGAATGACCTTGACACACTGGTCACATCTGGTCCATAGTGCATAAATCTTTAAAAGTCATCTTCTCAATAAACAAAAGGTATATAAGGTGGCGTATTTGGCAAGTTGCATTCTGGGAAGAAGGGCTTTTTAAGGTCAAAGGGGTCAAATGTGTTTTAATTGTTTAACAGGTTCTTCTGAATTACTTGAAGTCAAGACACTGATATTTTGCCTGTAGCTTTATTTCAGTTCACTTTTAAGGTTACAATTGTGAGATTAATACCAGGTGAGCGATGCAGGCCTCTTGTTTTAATCCACTTTAAAGGTTTCAAATGTGAAATTGATACCAAGTGAGCAATGTAGGCCAATTGGGCTTCTTGTTTATCACTTATTTTTTGAATGACAGTGCTGTCATCATGTCTCTTAACTCTTGACTAGAACTTTATCAGGCAAAATTAGCAAAAAAACCTGAAATTGTACCCTCTACCAGGCTGTGTAGTATGGCTTTGTGCCAGGGGTAGCTCGAGGGGTGATTATGGACTTGTCCATGTTAAAGTTTCCTGGCTGCACCATTGTCTATTGATTACAGTACATGATTTCTGCAAGACAATTTACCTTGCCTCGTACATTGTATGTGTCTCATTTGTGCCACAATGGCCTCTGTACTAAGTTTGAACACCTGAATCTTTAGCCAGGTTACATCAATAACAGCATACAATCCTGCAAGCTGAGGCAGCCTCAGACTTGTTTAGGCCATAGCCCTCATCCAAAGTGTAGTTTTTTTGACAAGCAGAGATAAACAACAACTCAAGTAAGTTTTGAAACTAAATAATCAATGAAACAATTATTTACATTGAAATTCCAAAAAAGCACACTAATAAACGCACATTTTCAAAAGCACAGTCATCTTAACACTTTTTCTTATCACAGATTTTTAACACAGTCTGTTTTTAGCACATCCTCTTAGCATATAAAGTTTTTGGATCATCCACTCCAGATTGTTATGTCACTGCGGGAACACATACCTTTGCATGCATGTGATACCATCTGATTCTGTGATATCCTCTCCTTAGTTTGAACATGAAATGTCTTTGACGTTGCTGATGATATAACTGTCTCTTTCGCAGGTATGTGATGTGACTGACTACACGCGAGTCACTCACCAAATGACTGCCAACGTAGCCTCAGCACTGTAGAGTCTGCTATACCGAAGTAGCACAGATGAACAGCAGTGTGAATTCTGGCTGGACAGTTGCGATAACAACTCATCATCATTGGGTTTGTTTTCTGAAGCACTCTGTTAAAAGATTCAGATTTCTGAGTGCTAATAGTTATTATTTTGGTGCTGTCCAGACACTCAGTGCTGAGGTACTTGAGCACACATTGTTTTAAGTGATGTTCATCTTTAGCACTAAGGCATAGCACTATCCCCTGAACCAAGATGTTAAATTATCACTTGTGTATATTACTGTATATGGAGAAAAAACTTGAATCTCGCAATTCAATTATATTTTTGAGATACATATAATCATGGAATTAGATTATCTAGGTCTGTGATATAATTTAGCATCGCATGTATTGTATAAAATTAAGAGTATAACTGTCGGTATTTTGCTGTTTATTTGAATTCCTATTCCTTCCATGGTGACTGCTACAGGCATTGAACTTGTGACATCACAGCCGATGGGGTCCTATTCATTAAAAGAATTATTAGATAACTTGATATTCTACATGTAAACCAAAGTTTTCAAAGTTGTAAATAATTTGACATCTGTGTTTACATCTGAACTGATCAAAAATTATTTTGTTTATCAGATTACAAGAGCCCACCAGCATAACAAGGGTAAAGGCAGAGTGCTACAGAAAAAGATCTTAAAGGTATGGAACAGCCTCTCAAATGATCTAAGAAGTGTAAAAAAACTGTTCTGCAGTCTGTTGCTAACATGGGAAAGCAGTATTTGTACATTTTCTGTTTTTGTCTTTGTGAAGCTTTTGCAAAATTTGCATCATTTGTAATTTTCAATGTAAGCTAGCAGTCTAAGGGAGATAATTTATTATACTCTTATAACAGAGTTTTCTCCCTTGTATTGTAAACGCACTCCTTACATACACATCAAGCATGGAAATATATGTCATAGATGTATGCGTATGAAATATTTTTAAATCAAGACTTCATGCAGCATATTTTAAATAATTTAACTAAACTTAATAACATCAGTGATTTTTGGGTTTTTTCATTCACACATCCCAAATGCATGAATCAGTGTATAACCTGTCAATTTTTAGCTCACCTGGTCCGAAGCCGCAGAGTCCTCTGTCCATCATCTGTACCTCAA